CCCAATGAGATCGAAGCCACCTGGAGGAAGGGCGGGGAGATCGTGGAGCAGGACACCTTCCGGAGGAGCGTCGCTCCCAACTCCGATGGGACCTACCACGCCTGGCTCGGCATCAAGATGGACCCTGCAGACAGAGGGCTCTACCAATGCCACATCAATCACGCTGGCCTGACTGAGCCTCTCGTCTTGGCCTGGGAAGCGCCTGGTGGTGAGCATTTGTAGGGGGAAGGAAGGAGATGGGGTGGTTGAGCAACCTCCAGATGGGAAGGGCCAAAGAAGGAGCACCATCATAGGTGAAAACTCTCCGCAGGACCCCCATATTTTGGGGAGTATGAAAAAGGAACTATGCCCTGGTCTGAAGGGAGAAGGTGGCTGCATAGCTCAGTGCATTAGGGGACCCAGAGGTTGGGAGTTCAATTCCCCACTCAACTTCCCAATCAGAGAGATAGCCTGCGTTGTCTTGGGGAAGCTGCCCAGTCCCAGGGCAACCCCAGGAGAAGGGAATGGGAAACTATTTCTCAAGACGCTTTAGCTGGAAAACTCTGGAAAGGGTCACCCTAAGTCAGAATTGACTTGATGGCACAAAATCATCATTCATTAGGCAGAAAGAGAGTGTTAGATAAGGAGTCTGGAGCCCTCCATGGACATTCCAGCACAGCCCTTGGGGGTGCAAAGTATCTGTTTCTTCCTGTTGGGCAATCCTTGAGATCAGTTGACATGTTATCCCTTTTCTGGAGAGGAGGGAATTCCCTCACCCTCAGCAATGCCAATGTTTCCCAGACCTGCCCTCGTCATAGGCTTTTGATGGCTAATTTAGATGTACTTCCGTATCCCGGAGGGAAAGGCTTGGTTTGATGAGGTGCCACTGAAGACCAGTGGATTTAAAGCTTGATCTCTCGATCACTGAAAGCCTGGGTGGTCTCTGGGCCTTCTTTCCCTGGCAATGTTTAGGCAGAGACCAGAAGCACACCTGGGGTGGAGGTTTTACTACCCCTTACTATAAATCTGTATATACTGGATCTTCTCTGGGGAGCCCCTTCCAGTAATGATATTCTGATTCCATCTGTGCAGGAAACCAGACACAGTGAGAGACCTACTAAAGCTACTTCGCCCCTTTCTGTCTCGGAAGGATTCTTTCTGCAGCCTTCGAAAGCCCTTCTTCCCCAGACCCTGCTGCTCTGTCGCGAATGCCTCTTTCCCTGGCTGGAGGGCATTTTATGTACCGTCCTATGTTGGAGAAGAACAAGAAAGGGGAGCACGGTCCCTTTGCCTTCCTTCAGATGGTCTTTGATGCCTCCTGCATTTCTCGGATACTTCTGATATTGAGGAGAGAAACAAAAAACACATAGAAGGAAAAAGCTTTTCTCTGTGTATTTTTTCTTGTCAAGGAATTGTTCAGAGTATTACAAAACAGAGTGAGGATCTGCATGCCTGCTATTTTTTTTATTACTTTGTTATGTGAAGAATGCCTTTTGAGAACCCACGCTGAACAGAAGGTGCCAAAATTGTTACTAGAGAATAGGTTGTCAAGATCTGAAATTGTGTGTCTACAGAGTGTCAACATAATTAAGGAGATATAGAAAAAATAGCCCTAAAAATGAAGGTACTTTTAAAATTGAGGCTTGAACAATAGTTTACTATAGTCAGTGCAAAAAAAAAAAAAGAGCCACCTCCCCAGCTGAACAAGGTTATTGTACCGTAACAATCCTGACAGTTGAACATGTTTTACAAAGGATAACCAATCATAAACAAATGATGAAGGTCTTATAGTTGCACTGAGGCTACACTGAAGACAGTGGATTCAAAGCTTGATCCCTCGATCGCTGAAAGCCTGGGAGGTCTCTGGGCCTTCTTTCCCTGGCAATGTTTATGCAGAGACCAGAAACACACCTGGCGTGATAGTTTTACTACACCTTACTACAAATGTGTATATACTGGATCTTCTCTGAGGACCCCCTACCAGTCCTGATATTCTGATTGCAGTTGTGCAGGAAACCAGACACAGTGAGAGACCTACTAAAGCTACTTCGCCCCTTTCTGTCTCGGAAGGATTATTTCTGCAGCCTTCGAAAGCCCTTCTTCCCCAGACCCTGCTGCTCTGTCGCGAATGCCTCTTTCCCTGGCTGGAGGTCATTTTATGTACCGTCCTATGTTGGAGAAGAACAAGAAAGGGGAGCACAGTCCCTTTGCCTTCCTTCAGATGGTCTTTGATGCCTCCTGCATTTCTCGGATACTTCTGATATTGAGGAGAGGAACAAAAAACACATAGAAGGAAAAAGCTTTTCTCATCATAACAACATTACACACTATGCCACACACACCAGATACCAACAACAATCATGAAGCAGTTCAGGAGAAGGAAGGCTTCATTTCCAAAAGCTGCCAGCACAGAACTCATGGATTTTCTTCCATAGATTTTAATTGGCAGATGGTTAGATAAGCATTAGAAAATGTAGTGTTTCCATGTGTGTTTTTTTAATATAAAGACTAAGAAATGCTTTTTTACTTTACATATTCTTTCTTTTAAGAACTTTGCTACATTCTATGCTTTTTCAATGTGCCTTTTCAGGCTACAGTATAAGCTTTTGTATTTTTAAAATGTAAGCTACTGCCCTATTGAAACATTTATGACATGAGTTAAGTTTTCCCTACGAATTAAGCTTTGTTTTTCCATGTCCCTTTTGTTTGCATAACTGTAAGAATTTTGGACAGCAATCTCACCTACAGCTTTCCATACATTGAAAGAATAGATTTCTACCGAAGCATTTCTGCCTACAATTTTTATCATAGCTGTAAGAATGTTTACTACATGTTTGAGTTTTTACTTTTTGAAGTATTTTGTGCATGTGGAATATAGAAGCATTGTAGAATTAGACAAGCTGATGCTGTCTGGAATTATTGCAACAATAAAATGACTTTTACTTGATACTCAGATAAATTTTGATATGGTATTCATTGATTCTGTGATTCCATTCTGCCCTGTTTCCCCAAAAATAAGACCTAAATTGAAAATAAGCCCTAATACGGTTTTTCAGAATGCTCGTAATATAAGCCCTACTCCAAAACTAAGCCCCGATTAAGTGAAACCCTCCACCTTCCCGGTTAAGTGAAACTCCACCCTCCACCCTTGTGCATCAACCAGAAGATGACACAACTGTATTTGAATAAATGTAGATGATTGTACATGAAAAAAATATATAACAACCCTTGAAAATAAGCCCCATTTTTGGAGCAAAAATTAATATAAGACCGTTTCTTATTTTCAGGGATACAGGGTAACTGGGATAAATATCAGCTGCAATCAATATAGGCTTCTAATTTTTCCCTATAGGTCTATAAAATTCTCTCAAGCTTTTGGGGAAAACCCTGATCTAACAATGGGTTTCCATCCCCAGTGAGACTTTAATCTCATACCTTTCCTCCTGATGTTGTGGGGCCCCCATCGTTGGGAGGTTTTCAAGAAAAGATTGGATCACCATATTTCCGGTATGAAGTCTGAGATGGGATGAGGTCTCCTGCCTTGGTCCTTTCCAACCCTACGACGATTCTATGACCTTTTGCAGGTGGACTTTTAATATGCAAACAACTTCTGAGGAAAAGGCTTTAAGGGGAGAGTCATTCTTTTATCTTTTCAAATTAGTTCTTAAATTTGTTTTAAGAGAATATTCTTTAGTGCCTTTGAATAATTAATATTTAAAAATGCTGTACACCTTGGGTCAAGTCAGGGACTCAGAAGAGCAGCTGTGAAGGAACTAGAAAAGATGCTCAAGGGTAAGGCTGGGTTCCTGGAGACCAAGGCCAAAATCCTCCACACGCTTGTGTTCCCAAGAGTGAAAGCTGTGGTGGGTGAGTGAGGAAAGCAGACGGGGGGGGGAAGAGTGCTGGAGAAGAGCCGGCCAGCCATGTAGGATTTTCTGGAAGCCACCTGAGGTCGTTTAAACTGACCTACAGAGAGAAGAGAAGGGGAAATCATAGAAAAATAGCATTACTATGAGGGACCCATGGGAAATTCCAGACGAAGGGGGATGAAGAATGAGGGAAATGGAAAAGTGCTTTTGTCCCCCGACTTCTCTTTCAACCCAGCACATCCTCTTTGCCTTTCATACATTCGGAAGTCGGTTGTTAACTTAAAATTCAGCAACTCATTCTTCATTATTATAACCAAAGCACAGGCACAGATTATTATTTTTTCTAAATTTAAAAAGTATCTGCCCATTTTTGTTGTTTTTTTTTTCACTGAGAGCTGGAAAAAATGGCCAGGTCACCTGGGGCAGCGAGATGGGTGGTCGGGCACTCATCACAGCCTCCCTATGAAGGGAGGGAGAAGGGCCAACGCTGTCCTCAGGGCCCCGATGCCAGGGGTGGGGAGGGGCTCCCCTTCTTTCCTGCTGCCAGAGCCCCGACCCAACCCCCCCTAGATGTGAAAGTGGAGCACAAGAAGAAACACCCCCAAGGAAGGTCGTTAAATCCTCCCTGTCCCAGAAGAGCCTCCTCCTCCTCCTCTGGTTTTTGCAAAGCCTCTTCCTTGTTCTGGAACCACACCAGCCTGCAATGCACAGGCCTTAGGGCCCCAGCAGGTACTGCTGTGGGTAGAGATTCAACAGGTGAGGTTTTTGCACTGGGGCATCTCCCTGCTTTACAAAATGCTTGCTGTCCAGCTGGGAATCAGAAAGATCATTCCTCTGCCTCCTGGGCTATGAATGTTGGGCAATGAGCCAGCTTTCCTGGTTCCTTCCTGAACCAAACTGTATCATCTGACTCGGTTCCGCCTTTTCTGGGAAATCAGGTGGGAGCAAAGAAGCGGCCTCGACTGTTTTGGTCACCAGGGGGCGCTCCTGCACCATCGCTTCGCTCCCTGTGGAGAGGAGATGTTGATCTTTTTTTCTGCGTGGAGTTGGAAGGCTAGTTAGTTTCGAGACCAGGGTAGTCGGGTGGTGACAGGCAGCTGTCATGTCCCGCCGATGTGCAAACAATACAATCACACACGAATAGCCATGAGACACATGTGGGTGTGGGGGTGCGTGTTTTAAGCAATGTAATAGCATTGAGTAAAGAGCCTCCTACAGAGAGCTCCAGCCCTGCTCTCTAGGCATAGATATGGGATCTAATGAACAGATGCTACACAAAAAGGGTTTAGCCTTCTCAAAAAATGAACAATATACTCATTCCCATCTCCGTGTGTGTGTGTGTGTGTGTGTGTGTATGTGTGTGTGTATGAAAATGTTCCTGCAGCCTGGATGTGTGTGTGTGTGTGTGTGTGTGTGTGTGTGTGTGTGTGTGTGTGTGTGTGTGTGTGTGTGTGTGTGTGTGTGTGTGAAAATGTTCCTGCAGCTCCACCCCTCGTGACTTGTTCCAACCCTTCCTTGATTTCTTGGCAAGCCTCGGATGCTCTTTCTGCTCTCCAACAGGGAGCAGCAAAAGATCACAAAAACATAAATAAAAATCAGTGATTCAGCTGGGAATCCACCAGAAATTTCGGATTGCAGGCAGAGAACAGGAATGAGAGAAGAGAAGGGCTTCTCCCCCCCTTATTCTCCAATACTCCTATTTCTGCCACTTCGTTTCTCCTTCTTTTCTGTTTAAATTCATATTGCTGTGACACTCAGCTAAAATGTTGAGACTTGAATTCAGTTAAAGAATACAGTGAGCACATGCACACGTTTTGATATATACAGTTACGTATAAGGGGATTAAAAAAAGATTCTGGGAAAAAAAGAATACTGTCCAGCATCCACTGTGAGTCCCAGGGAAGGTCTTTCCAGGATGAGGCTGCAATTTATTTCTGGAGTAAAAAGATAAAGCCTGAGCAGGGTCAAAGGTCTTTTTCAGAAGAAACCCAGTTGGGAAACAGAATTGGGTGCTCTGTTTGTGTCTCCAGATACCTCCAGGGGATGCAAAAGGTCTGGGTTCAAATCCCCATTGGTTTTCCTTTCCAAGCTCACAGGCACAAGTGTGCAAAATGGGAATTAACTGAAAGGCGGCCATGGGATGTGAGGGGGGTGCACCCAACTGGAGCCGCTTCTGGCGCAGGAAATATGGTGGAGATGCCCACCACCTCCCTTGAGGCACCTTCCTCACTCAGAGCCTGGGCTCTGCGGGGAGATCAGACGCCACATGACTGACACCCATCATTTTTCTCAGCAAAGCTGGCTGTGGCTTTCAGTTTCAACTTGGTTGGTTGGCCTCGCCTAAAGCAGAGCGCAGTCGACTCTGGGGAGAGAAAAAATGCGAGAGGGGAAGGCAGTTCATTCTTGGGTCCCAAGAACGGAAGCCATTTTGGGCAGGCAGGTCCTGTCAGACAAGAGAGAAGGACACAAAATGGCGCCCTCCTGCTCAGAAACAGCAGCACTGAGAGGCTGAATGGCTGGGAAGGTCACATCCTTTGAAGAAAACTCAGTATTTATTCAATAGAATGGTCGTATCGACCAGATAGGCGGGGTACAAATAGAATTAATAAATAAATAAATATTTCTCAGGCAGATTGCACAGGGAGGGCCCTGAGAAACTCAATCAGGATGAACCTCACTCAGTGCTAATCCGAACACTGGGCACTTTCCAACTATTTGCTATCAGAGAAGAGGAAGGATTTTCTCATCAAACAAGGAAGTCAACCTGTCACGTTCTCTGCCATGTTCAGAAGCAGGTATCTAAAGCAACATTTTAAAACTGGCTTTCAAGTTTTTTAAAAAGTCACTGAGCCGGATGAGAGGCACTGGCATCCTTCCAGCTTTGAAGTACTATACAACCAGCTTCTTTTACAAAAGAATGGATACTGTATTTGTTTGAGGACTCTTCTTCAACACCCTGGGCAATGGCCCACGCTGTCCCTCAAGATCCTGTTCTGTCCCTCATGTGGTTTAACATCCACTTAAACCCACTGAGAAGAGGGGGTTTGGGGTTCGGAGGCTTCAGAATGCTGATGACATCCAACTCTCTCTCTCTCCTTCCCATCTGATTCTGAGGATGATGTCTTAGCTCTGGTGCCAGGCATGAGAGGGCAAATAAATGACACAGAAATGCTCAAAAGATAGAGGATGAAATAGGGTCTCAGGCTGTGGGAGATGGGGGTTAGGCGCCCCTTCAAAACCCAGGCCTGCAAAGTGGAGATACTCCTGGACTCCTCCCTGAACTTCAATGCCCAGGTTTTTGGCAGTGGCGAAGAGTACATTTCCACCGTTTCAATGGATGTGCAGTCTGAATCCTCCTTGAGGCTTCTGTTTGGCTATACATTCCAATTCGACTACACAGTTATGGCGAACCTATAGCATGTGTGCCAAAGCTGGCACCCAGAGCCCTCTCTGTGGGCATGTGAGCCACAAGTCACCATCAATAAAGACTTACCCATCCTCCAATCCCGGATTTTGGCACTCCCCTCTTCTGGTGCAGTAGTCCAGCAGAGGGGTGCAATGGTGGCCAGTACAGTGGTGCCCAGCTAGATGCTTACCCCGCATGACATGAAAATTGCTTAACGATGACATTTTTGCGATCACTATTGCCATCATAAAACAATGGTTCTAATGGGGTTTTTTTTTTGCTTCACGTTGATCAGGAGCCTGCTTCGTGAATTGTTTGTTCACTATACGATGATTTTTCCGGTTCGGCAAAATGGCTTCCCTCCGCAAAATGGCTTCCCTCCCTTCTCAAAATGGCTGCTTTCCAGAGGGAAGCTTCGCAATATAGCGATTTTGAACAGATGCTTGGTGGTTCTCTATGGACAATCTTCGCTGGAAGATGAGGTATTTCTCCCATTGGAACGCATTGACCGGCTTTCAATGCATTCAAATGGGGGTTTTTTTTTGCTTGACGACAATATTGCTTTACAGCGATTTTCCTGGAATGGATTATCGTCGTCAAGCGGGGCACCACTATACCAGTCTAGCCCAACAGGGGATTGGTGAGTATTTCTATTTTAATATTGCCCCTATAAAAGGAAAGAAG